TTGAAAAGATGAGGAATTTTGAGTCACCTGTAGACTTTATCATTTGTACACTGTTTTTCTTGCTCCACTCACCGTGGATAATTTTTAATGACACTTTTCCATCAAACACCAAGGAACCAATGCACTGCATTTCTTCAGTTAAAAGACATCGGCTATCAATACCTGCCTACTTTTAAGTAATTTCCTATATTTAAACTCCTACCTTAGGATTTTTTGTCAAAAGATCTGATTTTTAATAAGTATTTTTGTTGCCGTTGGAATTTTATTCCTGGTGCTTTTTTTTTTTTATTGAGAAAAGGAAGAAAAAAAAAAAAACAAGTTTCCACCTCCTCCCAGCCTCCCATTTCCCTTCCCCTCCACCCACCGTTCTCCCCGTCCTCCCATCCTTCTCCCCCTCCTCCCACCGTTCTCCCCGTCCTCCCATCCTTCTCCCCCTCCTCTCACTCTTCTCCCCCTCCCTCTCCAGTCCAAAGAGGAGTCAGGGTTCCCTGCCCTGTGGTTATTCCTGGTGCTTATGCAAGTTAGTTTGATAGCTATTTTCTGTCTTTCAGAATCTACCATAAATGGTGATCCTTTTTGTTTTTTGGAAAGGATTTTCAGATTTTGAAAAAAAATTTTCTGTGCATTTTTGTTTGTATGACAGGCTGATGGGATTTTCCCCAAGTGTGCTACCTGATAACTAAAACAGGTTTAGTACGCATTCGGTATGTGAATGTATACACATCAGTTTTAGAAAGTATCATCAATGTTCTGAAAACTTGTTTGCTAGCAGTAAATTACTGGATAACATCTAGAATTTGAATCAGCATCTACTTTGTTATAGCACTCTTCTCAACTAGGTCTTCTTCTTCCTCTTCTTCTTCTCCTTCTTCTCTCCTTCTTTTTCTTGTTCTTTTTGCAAAAATATTTTTAATTGAAATAGAACTGTATCACTTTTCACCTTCCCTTTACATGTAGCCTCTCCCAGCTCATCTAATCTTTCTGCCACATTACCTTCTTTTTCTTTGTATTATTAAATGCATATATATGCACGCATGCGCATAGACACACACACACACACACACACACACACACACACACGCACACACACACACATATATATGCTGAGTCAATATTTGTTGTTTGTGTGTATATGATTTTAAGGCTTATCACTTTTCATTGGCAAACCAATGAGGGGTTCATCCCAGGTAGAGACTATTTCTCTTTCTTCCATTAGGTATTAGTGATTCTTTGTGTATGGATGGGACCCCAGAACATTTTCTTCCTTCTATGTTAACATGTCCATTGATATTGAAATTTTCTGGTTTGGGCAGAAAATACATTAAGGTACAGTAAATGGGATTTAAATGTTGGTGGCAACTAAAGGCAGTCTTATTGGACTTAAGTCCCACTCAACAGGAGGAAAATCATGAAACCTAACCAGTGTCCTAGGATAGGGACGCCATGGCTCTTAAAAAAGAAACTATTGCTACCACTTTGCTAGGCCAGCACAATTCCTTACCATTCTAAGGATAACATTCCAAATATCCTTGTGTACATAGATAAATGTCACTCACACCCCTCATCAAAGAACCCTCTCTTTACAGCAAATGGCAGGAAATCCAACTAGACACAGCTATTAATAGGTTGTGCTCAGCACAGCCTCAACTGATGTGTTTACATCACAGCTCCCGCATCTGTGGCACAGAAAGACTACATGAAGAGCCCTAATACCCCAGTTAGTTCCTTGGGCAGCTGAGGATAGGGAACCTGAAATGACCCTATCCTATAGCAATATGACGAATATCTTGCATATCACCATAGAACCTTCATCTGGTGATGGATGGAGATAGAGACAGAGACCCACACTGGAGCACTGGACTGAGCTTCCAAGGTCCCAATGAGGAGCAGAAGGAGGGAGAACACGAGCAGAGAAGTCGGGACCGCGAGGAGTGCACCCACCCACTGAGACAGTGGAGCTGATCTATTGGGAGCTCACCAAGGCCAGCTGGACTGTGACTGAAAAAGCTTGGGATAAGGCCGAACTCTCTGAACATGGCGAACAATGAGGGCTGATGAGAAGCCAAGGACAATGGCACGGGGTTTTGATCCTACTTAATGTGCTGGCTTTGTGGGAGCCTAGCCAGTTTGGATGTTCACCTTCATAGATATGGACGGAGGGGGGAGGACCTAGGACTTACCACAGGGCAGGGAACCCTGACTGCTCTTTGGACTGGAGAGGGAGGGGGAGAGGAGTGGGGGGGGGAGAAGGGTGGGAGGAGAGGGAGGGAAATGGGAGGCTGGGAGGAGGCGGAAACTTGTTTTTTTTTTTTTTTTCCTTTTCTCAATAAAAAAAAAAGAAAGAAAAAAAAAGACTGCTATTAAATCGTCTCTCCTAGAACTGGTTGTATAAATGTGATCCTTTCCAAATCCCACTTTTTATAAACTACTGAAATTTAATGGCATTATGTTGAATATAGCTATTACTTAAAAGTCTTCCAACAAATATTTCCTCATCTTCTCTTGAGGCTCATATTAATGCATTTCATCCCCATGTAGGTTTATGATCTATATATTCTTAGATCAGAGCTGTATTTAGATCTCTGTAACAATAGCATTTTGGATATAGCTTACCAGATACATTTTACTAATGTCATTTGTTAGTGTAAACACACTTTTATTCTCTACAACATATGGTCTTTGCTTTCTTAGTATTTTTAGCTGACTGGTCCTATCTGTAGGATGATTTATATTTTTTATCACTTTATTTGATAGTAGAATTTTTAAATGAACTTCATGCTAATTTGATTTCATGGTTCCATTGGATTTTTTAGGAGCAATGTGAGAGAGACCTTCTTGTCCTTACCTTTTCTGTAGACTTTGCTTATTCTTACGACATTGTATCTCTAAATTGCTGAGTCCACATAAGCAAATGCCCATTTGATATTCATGTCAAATAATTTACTCTATTCATTTTGTCAAGTCTTCAGCCCTGACATATAAATTTATATAATATAGCTTGGTGTGTTGATCTTTTCCTACTAATATTTATCTGTCATTAAACTGTAGTACATGCCTACTAGGTACAAATGACACTTTGAGTCTCTCAGTGGGATGTAATCTGAATGAGTAATAATTTTTCTTAAAAATTTTTTTACAATGTATTCAGCAAGCTACTTTGGAAAGAAACTCATTACCAAAGCTAGTTGCAATTAAAAGCATAATAAATAATGTACTAACAAAATAGAACAGGAAAATATTTCTAAATCATTTCATAGGAAAGGTGAAATGTGAGTTTTAATTTTGAGAGTGTGTTAGATAGGGTAAGAAAAAAGAACACTGAGCAAAAGCTTATAGCAGGAGAATCACTGATGTACAAGTAAGGGCTGGAGCAGCTCCCACACTGGTGGAAGGTCTGTTTTATAAAGGACACAACTAGGCATAAATTTTAGAAAACTGGTTAGGTTAGGGGATCTTGGATCCTGAACACTAAGAGTTTGGTATTTTGGCTGGAAGGAGAGAAAAAAATTATTGTACTCAGAGATGTGTACAACTACTTTGTGCTCAGGCTGTCTAGTTCACTGAACTATATCTTTTGTGTTCAACTAGTACAATAGTGTTGAACAGAGAGATGGTTATCACTCTTATTTTATAGATGATATGTCTGTAACTCTGAAAGTAAGATTAACCTGGTAATATTGTGAACATGGGTTAGGGCTGATATTAAAACTGCTTGGAGAAGAATCAATGCAGCTGACTTAACAGTCAAGTTTCTCTTCTTCATCTATTTAAGTGCCCTAAAATTTAGCCCCAAGATACAATATTTAATTCATGGTCTTACTAGAAAGTTACATCAGGGAACTATGAATAATACTTGATATGTAAAAGACACAGTTCAAATCTTCTTGCAAACAAATGAAAGAAAGAAATTATGCTGTGTGCATTTTCAGTGGGATGGCTTATGATTAAAAATGGATGCTTAGATGGTACTCAGGTCTGGGGATGTACAATACTAGGAAAGTAGTCTTGAGGGAATAAGGAATCCTGGTAGAATAAGCTAAGAGTTCACACCTCCCACCATTGCCCTGTGATTAAGAAATAACAGTGGTGGTACTAAAGAATGTTCTTGAGGCAGTGTGGGCAGGTAGAGTCCCCCTGAGAACCCCATGAGTGATGGGATGTATTCAGTCTAGAATAACGCTACACACCTACTAATTAAAACATTGTAGTGGCATGGTTACCTACTGTTCATAGTCACGACATCTGAACAACCATTTCTCACAAAGACTCTCACAAAGGGAAGTCCCGAATAAAGGGCTAAGTCCACAGATAAAAATAACAATTATTTGACGGTTTTAGCACTATTAGAGAGTTCACTAAGTTCAGTAGAATTTTTTTGTTTTTAACTTGTCTTCTGGTTTTTATCATTTTCTATCACCTATCATTTTCTGTTACAAACACAACAGACAGTTCTCCTGAGTACCCATCATTCTTCATATTAACCGTATTGAGCTTCTAAACTTATGTTTTTATCTACCTACATCTATATGACCTTTCATTTGTATCATTTTTTTGTGCTTGTGCACATGGAGCCCCTGAAATCAGAGACTGAAGAGCTCCAAAGAATTTTAGAACACTGAGGCTCAAATTGTTTCTTCCTTTTGAAAGTACTTAGAACAGCAACTTTTAAAATAATTTCCAAGCACTAAATTTAGCAAGCTATGGGAAGGCGGTATATTTCAGAATGTGTTACTATTTCAGCATATTCCCAATGGGCTTCATACATACACTTGCGAAGAATAAATACCCACGGTGACTAATCTTGTTTTAATTAACACTGAAGAAAATAACAGCGGTTGTCATGAGAAGCTATTTTCAGGTTTTTCTTTTTTGAACCGTGTCAGTTGCCATTTAGGAAGTGGCAAGCAGCGCTTCTTACACTTGTCCTGCAGCACCCCACCCCCTCCTCATAAACATGAAGCAGCCCACTTATCCAAAGGTGACATGCACGCCATACTCACATCTTGTAGACATCAGGCTTTCCAGAGATTGGGCCCATCCTAAAACTTCTTCCAAAGTAAGACTTTGAAAAGAAACAAAAAGCACTGATTAGGCTAAATTATTATCAATGTTTTGCTGAGCTAAATAAATCTATGCTCTCTTGAGAATAATGGAAAAATCTAATTACACTATTTATTGTCCTTTGACCCTTTATGTGATAGGCTTCACTGAGTTTTTAAACTCTAAAATATAACTGGTGTATACTTGATATACACTTGATATATGCTTTTTCTTTTTTTATTGATTTTTATTGAGCTCTACATTTTTCTCTGCTCCCCTCCCTGCCTCTCCCCTCTCCTTTTGAACCCTCCCCCAAGGTCCCCAAGCTGCCAATTTACTCGGGAGATCTTGTCTTTTTCTACTTCCCATGTAGATTAGATTTATGTAAGTCTCTCTTAGTGTCCTCATTGTTGTCTACGCTTGATATATACTTGACACACACTTTGAAAGTTCCAGCCACAGACTCACCCAGTGCCTCTATAGGATTGTCTCATGTCCCTCTGCCACTGTCACAGGTGCACCCCCTTCCCTAATTAATGCTGGGCTTATCTTCAAAGCTGATGCACATGCAATAGCCTATTACATTCGCACTTTCTCATTTGATCTGCATGTATTTATATATTGAACTTTGAAGGCATTGGAATTAATGAACGTAGAATATATCAAGTTACATTCTACTTGATCAGAGTAAATAAAGTCACACTTAGAAGACATCTGTGAAAGGTGCTGGCTTGAAGGCTCAATTTCTGTTTCTGTTGGTGATCTTCATGAGGGGACTGGTAAGTTGTTCTACTTTCTCACATACAAATAACTTTATTTTCCTGTCACTAATATGTCCATCGCCACCCAGCTTTGCTTCACGTGTGGTCTTCCTGCCTTTAGCACTGGTATACTCTTAAAAAAAACCTGAAGATGCAAGTGAGGCCTGCTCCTTGTTGTTCTTAGAGAGTCAGCCTGAGTGTTAATTCTTCAGGATTGACCAGCAACATTAACTGGTTGTGAACATAACAAAAGATTTGGAAAGTTAAATAATACATAGCATAGAACAATATTAGTCCTGTAACAGCGGATGGTCTCTGTCTAGACTTTCACATCAGCTTCGAGGTGCACTCTGTCCGGTGCTCTCATAAACGTTTCCATGAAAACTATTTCTGACTCACTGTTCTTTTCTCTCACTGGAACTTCAAAAAGGATGAGCTAAAATAATATTTTTTAATCTATTGAAATGGGAAGGGTGAGGCAGGTTTCTCACATGATTTTTTTTTTTTTTTTTGTCTCACTGATTCCCATTGTGGAGGAAAGACTGAAATCTCCAGGGAGGGGAGACAACATGGCTGTGTTGGGAACTCATTGCCAAGAGAATGCCTTTGCCTGCATGATTTACGAAACTTACAGATACGGACAGTGGTTGGAGAAACTGGGTTATTTGAACTCCCGCTTTACTTTTGGCTTCCTTTCTCTCTCACACAGGGTTTATGCTGGCCCATGATTAGGAAGATGGTATCCTCAGAATTATGTAAAGATTATTTTTAAGTACCTCTGCCCCAGATCAGCCTGAGTCTCCTGACCTGGGTTTTCCAGTTTCTTGTCACTTCCTTTTTCTCTGGGCAGGTAGGCAGCAAAAAGCAATCAGATATGAAGACATTTTGAAACCCATGACGCTGATGCTTACTTAGTGTCTGAGCGTTGAGAGATCCCTTCCTTGATGCTGGACTTCGGACATCTCCACACTGAAAGACCCCCGTCCAGCTTTCACACACCTTAGTTTTATTATTATCTCTATATCTGATGAGGTCATTTTGAATGCAAAGCTCCTATCAAATGACCTCTCTTTTGCTGAACTTCTCCTTTCCATGGGGGATCTGCAAGGCAGACTACAGGAAACCCGCGTTCTGATTGTGTTAGGCCATAGGGATCGCCAGTAGAAGAGAGCTTGCCCTAGTGAGACTTTTATATCTTTTTCCATGGGTGCACCTGCATAGTTCACGAACTTCAACTGCTCACTGGAATGCTGAGTGTTGGGTATTAGCATCCATCACTACAGCTACCTCTCTTCATCAAGCAGTAGCTTTCCTATGTCTGTGGAAGGTTAGACTGATCAAGAGCCCTGACCTACACGTATGTGTTCAGAATTCAGGTCTTCCCTTAACCTAGGTTAGGCATGTGTGGTTAATCTGACAGAAGTCTTGAAACTGTAACTTTTTTTTGTGATAAACCCAATTGTTTTGTTAATTTTTCAGTCTTCTTTCCATTTTAATCTATTTGTAGATCTCAGAAAAAAGGATGGGTCTTTATAATATAACTGATCTGAGTGCTCGGGAGGCTTAGGCAGTAAGATCACAAGCTTGGGGTAGCCTAGTCTGTAATGACAGACCCTGTAAAAAAACAAGGCAGTGACAAATTTCCCTGCAATCATAAAAGATCGAGAGCTTGGTAGGCTTCAACTCCTGTGAGCCTCAGGAAAAAACGAAGGTGTCTGGCACCTCTTAAGAAGGTTTTAGTTGTAAAATATATTGGATTAAAAAAAATCCCTTTAATATAAACAGTACCAAATTACTTTTTAAAAGAACGTTTGTAATCATCTCTTTCTAAAATGTCTAAGTTGCCGAGTTCTTAGATCTACACTTCGAATAATGGAAATGAGTTTTGTGTCATATGTAACTGCTCCTCTGCTGTAGTTTCTCCTCTGTAAATGTAAATTTTACTTTCTCAGCAAAATATATTTAAAACGTAGTTAAAATATCTATGTACGTATTTATCATGTGACTAAAAATTATTTAAAATGGCAATAATATTTAAAAGCTACTTACTCTGAAGGGAACCTCTTAGCTCTGCATAGCTTACAGATCCAGCAGATATGCCCGCTCATTTTTCTAAAAAGAAAAGCATACAGGTATAGTGCTTAGTCATGTAAAATGACTTTCTGATGAGTCAACTTTCAAAGAATATGTAAAATTATATAGTTCAAAAGAATGAATTCTTAAAGCTAATAGAAGTCACTGTGGGTCATGGAGGAAGAAGGGATAAAATGACTCACCTCATATATATTTCATAAGAATATAGGTGATTAGATTTCTCAGTGACTTTGGAATTCCTCTTACCCACCAGTTCATTAATAATAGGTTTTTAAAAATACAGAGTTCTGAAAGATGATTTTAATTAGAACCCACTGACAATGAATTCGTCAACTTCTAAGGCTTCCTTTTTGGGGCAATTCTTATTTTTAGAATACTCCCTAAAAATATGAAGGAAAAATTGCGTCTTTGTAATTAGTCAAATAAAATAGCATAAACACCAAATAAAAACTCTTTAAGAATGAGTTCTGAGAAGAGCAGTTTTTACATAAACTTGGGCATTTTGGACTTTGTAACTGAAATTCTGCGAGTTGACTCAATCTAGGCTGAGTGTGTATATAGCAGCACATGTCATGGTTGGGTTTTAACTTGGGATTTTGAGAAAACAACTAAAAACATGCCTGAGATAATTGGATGCATGTTTTATATAAAGTCTGGAACTAGTTTGGTAGCTGTACATAGGTAGTTATGTGACGCTTTTATGACTTTATTGACTCATTCAAAGTGTCTTCTGATTTCTTGTCCCCTGTGAAGCTCAGTGCCAGTGGGTGATCTCCAGAGACCCTGGTCTTCTCTTTCTATTCTTATTGATAAGCCATGAGAAAACATGCTGTTGGGTTTTATTAGAGGGTCTGTGTGTACCTGCAGGAGGAGAACCGAGTTAGACTTGAGAATGATCAGTGAAGCCATCCCAGTAATGCACCATCTGAGTGGGAGTCAATGGGAGATGCTGAAGTGTCAAATGAAGGAGGGATTGCTTAGGCAAAGGTTAGGAAGGAATGGTTAGTTGAAGAAAAGTGAAGAAATGGGTTGTCTAGGATGAAAATGGGAGAGATCTTGGGAGAAAAGTCTACAGAGTTAAGAGCGACCCAATAATCATCTTTGGATATATCTTTAGAGAGAAAGGATGGAAAAAGTTTATGTGAGAGATTTGGCTTGGAAGTACAGTTGGGTATTTTCATAAAGACTTAATAAAAGTAAAAATTATAATGAGTTTTCTTGGGAAAGATTGTGAACTGAAAAGACAGCCTAAGATGAAGGACAAGTACAAAGACATCTTAGTGAGACTGTGAAAAAGGTGTCCACTAGACAGAAAGCAGAATAATGCTGTTTCATAAGCACCAAAGAGCATATTTATTTTTGGTGAACTCATAATTCATAGTTGAGTTCCAGAAAAAGATATCCACTGTACACTAACATTTGGAGACTGTTTAAAAAACAAAATATTGGCCGGGCGATGGTGGCGCACGCCTTTAATCCCAGCACTCGGGAGGCAGAGGTAGGCAGATCTCTGTGAGTTCGAGACCAGCCTGGTCTACAGAGCTAGTTCCAGGACAGGCTCCAAAGCCACAGAGAAACCCTGTCTCGAAAAACCAAAAAAAAAAAACAAAAACAAAAACAAAAAAAAAAACCCAAAAACAAAATATTGTACCGTAAAAGACTTGTACAATTTTAAGCAATAAAGATTTGGAAGTGTGAAAAAAAGAGTAATCATTTTGGTGTTAAAGTAAGAAAGAGAATAAGAGAGCAAAGGATTTAAAGATGTTGTCAGGCCCCTTAACAATAGCGCCAGGGATGAGTGCAGTGGAGCAGGGCAGGCAGCAGCAAGGTGGAGAAAGTAATAAAATGGAGTGCTGGTCCCCCCACCCCTGTGTCCTGTGAAAGCTGCTGAAGACTGATACAGTAGAGACACAGAGGCCGGACTCTGCCACTTACCTACTCTAACTGGCATGTCTGTAGCGTGTGCCAATGAGTCTTTTAGTGTGACAGCATGAATTTGGTAAAAGATATCCACGGATAGAGGTAGAGGACATGAGAGAAGTGGAAAAAGTGATAGAATAAGCATTGTACAGCTAAATGGATGTACATGAGGGAACAAGTGGGAAGGAGGGAAGTTACTGGCTAACTAAGCCTCTTTTGGTTGTAAATGTAGCAACATAAGGAGAAAGGAAAGTTAGTTATAGAGCTATGTGTGTGCAGCTAGATTCCAGATGATCATAAATTCAGGAAAGAATCATTGCATTCTAAATTGTTGATAATTTACTAAAGTTTTAATATATCACAGTGGTGAAAATAGAAATGTTTTTTGGAAAAATAAACTTAATTACAGATGATTAATAAATACTGAGACTAAGAGAACTATGGCATTGGCTGGTTTATTTATAATGATCATGCCTTGAATTGTATTAGTGAAGTTAAATTTCCATACTCAATGCCCTTGCTTCTTGAACATCCTCACTGTCAATGTAACTGCTCCTCCTTGTCTCCTACAAGGATTCAGTATTTCTTCTTGAACAATTGATTTTGTTTCATTGTCTTTTCCACTTCATCCGCTAAAGCCATGTGTACGTATTTTTTAATTTTTACCATCTATGTAATTCAATGTCTTTTATAAAGTATATAGATATAACATATAGCTTAATAGCTACAATGGGGTCAGACAAAAACCACAAAATCAGTATGCAGCATTCAGATGTGCACTGAAGACTCCCTGTGGGTGAGCTAGTGCTCAGGGGTTTCCCGGAGCACCCAAGAGCACTCAGTATATTCAGATAGTTCAGTTCAGAAACTAGAACAACACACACTTTAGCTGAGGCTTTTATTAGCTATGTGACCTTGGGCGTGTTAATTTACCTCTCAGATTATCTATTTCCTCTTCTCTGAAACGGAACAGTGAAGATTAGAAAAATAGATGCACGGAAAGAGTTTCTGTTCCAGTTTATCTGACCTTCAGCTTCTTGTACTCTGACAGTCAGGAAGTGTATATTTCCCAAGACCCTCTGCAGGAACGAAGTATATGTTCTACCAGAGTATATTCCTCCTTTCTTTTTAAATTTCAACTCAGATGACCACTTTTCCTAATTAATGTTGCTCATTCTTCTACATGTGAATTAACTCTCTGTAAATCCTCTTTCTTTTCATTTCTTTTAAAATTGCTATCTCATTTTTGGTTATTGTTTTTTGTAATTCGGTTAAAGATTGAGTTATCTGATTCAGCAACAGATATTTAGAATCCTCCAGGACTATTTGTCATACCAAAGGTTAGAAGCCACAAGATAGGATTTGCATGACCAGAAGTTTGAGTGCTAAAGGAGAAAGGAGAGAGGACAGTTCCCCTAGTTTGTCCTCTTGGAAATGATTGTGTGGGTTGTCTCTGCCATCAAGATGCTTGGTTCAAAGGGAAACAAGAAGCTGAGATCCACGTGGGCACCCTTGTCAGGCTGCATGACCCCAAGATGCTTTTTGCCCTAAGTGTGGTCCTGATTTTTCTAATACCAGCAAAGCTCTGTCAAGTTCAACAACATCTGTGTGCTCAGTTAGATGATTGATGCAGAACAAGGGTCTATGCTACAAGCTATCCATCAGCTGGAAGCATCAGAAGGGACTGAAATAAAACTATAAATATTAAATACATATACATGTGACTTTAAGTTCTAACTTATCTACTTTCTATGGCGTTTCAAATGCTATTCGATAAACATGTTTAAGCAGTTGTTTTTATACTGTTTAGGGTTCCAAGTCACACTCAGTTTATTAGGTTACAGAATACAAATAGAATACAATGTCATAAAATTACCAGCGATTCAATATCAGAAAATATTTAGTTAACTAGTTATGCACTAGATGTGTTACATACAAAATACATAGAACATAGAAAGAATTGTTTGTGTTCTATGATGGCTTCTGGCTTTCTAGCCCCCCACATCTGGGACTTGATAGATGTTGTTTCAGGACTGTAGGTCTGCTCCCCATGTTTGCCTATGACCATCAGCTCTCTCTTGCTTATTAAGGTTTCCAGAACTGAATGCCGACCTACGTGCCCTTGTGCCTTTACAGATTCATGGTCACCATGTCCCACAACTTTGCTGGGTTGAAGGACAACAATTTAATATCCTGCAATGTTCTCTAGATTGAAGCAAAGAAGTAACTCACAAATATTTAATTATAAAAAAGGTCAGATTGACCAGTTGAATTTATTCTCTCTTCCAACCAAAACACTTGAAAAATGAGAGGTAAAGAACACACAAGACTTAAACATGAAGGAAAAAGAAGATTAAAAGAAGAAAGAAAAAATAGCAAAATATTTCGAAGTAGTCTTGGAAGATAGGAAGCAGATGAAGGGTGAAGTTAAAACTTGCAAACCTCTAAATGAGAAGAATAAACACAGATTTTGGAATTTCATTTGACCAAATAAAGAACATATAATTCACAGTCTGGGGATGAAAAATTTCTAAAATAAGTATTTCTTAAATACTTCTAATTTAAAAATGAAAAGAAATAACTGCAATTTTACATCCTACAATATTTTGTGACTAACTCATACATTTTCATCTTTAATCTCCACCAAAATATGTAGGGTCAAATGCTCTCAAATTTACAATTGAGAAATTTTAAACACATGTAGTTATACTAAAAATGGTAAATTATAATTTTTAAAAGAAGTGCAATAAGAATTTAATTAATTAGTAAACTTAAATATGTTTTGTTGAATAAATGCAGCTAAGCATATCTTTAGTAAATTGTGCTTTTAAAATTATAGCACAAGCAGAAAATAAAATGAAAATTAAACTCAAATGCTCCCAGAATGTCAATTTATTTTGGTAAAAAAGAGAGTTCATGGTTTAGAATGATCTAAGTTGACATGATGTAGGACTGATTTGTGCTGTGGATAAACTCACCAAGCTTCAAATCAGTGGTAATCTTGTTTTTCTCATGCTGGTGTAGTCATGTAGAAACAGTCCATTAACCTAAAAATAAAGGAATGATAAAAACAAGAGGAAACAGAAAGATTAGTGCAAAAGTACATATTTCGCAAGGATTTATATAAGTACCTGGCCTTTGTTTTTATCCAATAACTTCCGCTTTATGGGTCTTAGCAGAGCCCGTTTGTGCATCGCTAGAATGTGGTCATTTCATAGATTAGTATAAAACTACATAAAATACACTTATATATCTTCCCATTGATTTTTATCTGATCATCTTATGATTATTTCAATTATGTATAACTTTGCTTATCTTTTTCCTCTACTTTGATGATAAAACTAATGTGTACTTTTTTAAAAACAAGTCCATAAGGAGTATATTTCTTCTGATAACTATTTCTTTTTTAGAAGAAGAGCATAGCTAATCAATAGCCTAAGCATAAATACCCTGGCAATAGTACGAGTTGTGTACATAGTATGGCATAAATAGATCCACATATCCCCCGCCTGTAAATTAAGTCTTAGAGTAAAATAAAAATGAATATGTTTAAAAATTAACTCTTTTTTACATATTTAAATTTTGATAATTCTGACAGATAATCAAGCAAGTTTTTCTGTTCAAATACAAACTAAAAACCCATCCTATTCTCTTTTATTTTCACAGTTTGGATATAGTTTTGAAAAACCTGGACCACTTTACATTTTTATTGCTCCTTTTTGCAATGCAGCAAAAAAAAAAAATCCTGCTTTTTAGGAAAAAGTAATTTTGTGAAGTTGTACTTAGGTGTAGTCTGAGGAATGAAGAAATTCTAGAACTGAGGTTAACAGTGCTTCAGATAGACCTTACAATAAACAGACATGACAATTAGCTGAGCTAATAAACTGTAGAAATAGCCATTTAGTAATCAAGGGTTTTTTTTATTCCAAATTTTCTGATTTTTGTATCTCTATCATCCAACATCCGCATGAAAACAACATTAAAAAAAGACAATTTAAAACTGCAATAGATCCTCTTTTTCCCTATTTAATTTTAAAGCCATAAAACCTAATCCATTTTTGTTTGTCTATTTCTTAAAAATAAGACCTTCCATGCACCCTTACAACCTTGCTATTGAGGTTGGTACCCACCAGGCATTTATATCAAGGTAGCATTCTTCTATTCACTATCTTTTTTTTTACACTGAATCTCATACTTACACATATATCCTGTAGAGCAGTCTAACATTTTATTTTCTCCGTGTTATGATCCTTTTGAAATCAGGTTCTGAAATTGCGTGAGACACCAAGTACTCTTATTTTTCCTGGCAGAAAAAGACTCTACTGTCTGTCTAATTACCTTCTCTGGCACGCCAGCCTCTGTGCTAGGAAATTCTAGTTTTACAAACACATATCTATGCAAAGAGAGGGTTTTTGAATATGGAAAGTCGTGCTGTGGGATTGCAAGGCCTTGCTGATAAAAGAGGTTTTATCTAAACTTATCAGAACGTCAGCCGAGTCCAGATGGCTGGAAGCAGCAGCTCCTTAGAGTTTTCAACTGTTGCAGTCAAAACTTCTCTTCTGAACAATTATGTCTTTTCAAGTTTTTGACAATGTGCAGCATAAAGGAAAATCCCCTTTGGGAAAATAAAAATGACAGACCTGAGTACAAATAAGCCTAGTATCAAGTGATGGGAACTACTGACAATTGATCACAGTAGGCAACTGACTAAGAACCTGTAACAAGCTATGGGCTCTCTTTTCTGGCTAACCCTTGTAGCTCTTACTATACTGGTCCTTTGAGGCATTATTTTGACTGCTCGTCATCATTCAGTCTGTTGAAGCACCTGCTAGACTTTGGACTGAACAGAGTGCTTCAGATGATCTGCTCTACTGAGTGCAAACTATGGGGAGCTGTTTACTCCCTTGTCTTATGTCTAATACTGTGTGTGTGTGTGTGTGTGTGTGTGTGTGTGTATGTGTGTGTGTGTATGTGTGTAATAAGATACTAAAAAGGAGCAGAATGTCATCGAGAGAATACTTCTTAAAATATTTAGGAACCTGCAACCCCATCCCCACCCCTGTTTATGGCTCCTTCTTGCTACTTCCACTCTTCCTTTTGACTTTCCCAGCCTCTGTGTTTGCTCCAAGTTTTATACTCAGGTCTAAAGATTTGGAGAGATGTCCACAAATAAGAGAGGACATGCGGTGTTTGTCTTTCTGGGTCTGGGTTACCCCACACAGTATATTTCTCAGTTCTGATCATTTACCTGCAAACCTCATTAGTTCATTTTTCTTTACAGCTGACCAGAATTGCACTGCGTATACGTGTTCACATTTTGTTACCCATCCATCAATCCAAAGACATTTGGATTATTTCCATTTCATATCTATTGTTAACACAGTGACTGATGAAGAACTATAAGCAATCTATGGCTGACCAGAGAAGGAGAATCATTTTCCTATAAGGAAATACTCCATGTTAGGTTTTCCAGTCCCACGTTATCAGCCCTTTATTTTTCTTTCAGTCAAGTCCAAAACAATACCAATTAAAACATGCAAAATTAGGTATTGCTTAATATTTTTTTTGTGGGGCTATTTGATAATTTTATATAGTTAGAATCTAAAATAAATTTTGTAAGAACAGAATAATGGCCTTTGAGAAACTGTAAATACCAAGCTTTGCCAATTTTAACAACTCCCTGAAAATGAGAATTGCGACTATTTCATTATCTGTGACTTATTGGGAAATAAACCTGTTTCAATGCATCTTAGCGATACTGTATGGGTTTTGCATGGCATGCACATAGAGCACAGATGTCAGCTACTATCAGGGCATCTCTAAAGGGATTCCAACTTCCTTTGTGCTTGGACACATGAGCAGAGACACACAGTTGCCTTAGAAGCAGACAGTGTTTTAAGGGTTTGTGCACTTCCAGGCTTGAGCAGAGTGGCTCAGGTACATTACAAATTGAGCAGTTCAACAGACCTATGTAAAAGGTATGGCTTTTATGTCTCATACCTCAGGCTTTTTGCTCATTTGCATTGTATGGGGTTTTCCATGGACGCTCTGTTACATGTAGGTCTACGTACAACTTTATGCCTCCCATATCATGTTGGCATCTTAAATATCTACCCAGGGGGGCTTTAGTATGTATTATACAGAGCCGTGGGATCCCCCGAGACACTCAAGAATGCTCTGTGACTGTGTTAATAGCTGAATTTGTTCAACCTTGGCAGAGGGGTTTTCCAGTCTTCCTCTTTGCAAACTTGTTTTTTAATATGCTTATTTCATAAGGCCTTGTGGAAGGCCTTCTGACCTTACTCTTGGTCCCATTCTCCTGCCTCAGTACTTTTCAACTTACTCTGTAAGCAGGATAAACTCTTAGATACTGGGGAAGTCTGAGTGCAATATACCCAGCAGGCAGCAGCTGCTGACCTTTGGAGAAGATTAGCATCTGCTGCCTTTCTGAACTCTCAGCCCTTGCCTTTTAGCCTTCTGTTAGTCTTGGCTCTTGGTGCTGAATTTCTTCCCAGTGTCTTATCTTTCAGAACAACTACTGCTTGTCTATGTAGACACATTGCTCAGATATCCAGAAAGTGGTCCAAACAATTGCCACCCAATGTCTAGACCCAAGAGAGCACAGACCCGTTTCTAGTTTTTCACCATCTGGCTTGTTGATGAATAGACATAGTGTAACTTACTTTGGCTTCTAACATGTATAAACACCAAACATAGTGGCAAAAATACTTAGATTGTTGGGTCTATCCAACACTGTTGATAAAATGCACATAAATTGCAATGCAAGCTAGCAGTCAGTTCGGTCTGCATTTACTCCAATGACTTGTATTAAAGGTGCCCTTAATTTTAACTGTTATCACGTCATTCCATGATTCTTATATTTTTGGGGGGCATTTCCCTTTTTAAAGCTTCACTATGTATTTAATGGAAGATGTTTATTATTTGTGTATGTGTGTGGTGTGGTATACATATATGCTTGTGTGCTCATATATATGTGGGCACATGAATGTATATGTGTGTGCAGTGCATTGTACTGTAACATGAGGGCCTGCTTGTTGGGGTTTCTGTCCTGCCCAGATCACCAAAGAAGCAGGATGTGACCTGCCCTTTTGAAAAAGGTACCAAGCCATGTGGCTAACATATATGAGAATAATGGGTTAATATATGTTATAAGAGTTAATAAGAAGCCTGAGCATTAATAGAAATGGGTTAATCAAGATGTGAAAGTTAGCCAATAAGAGGCTAGAGCTAATGGGCCAGGCAGTAATTTAAGTAATACAATTTCTGTGTGGTTATTTCAGGGGTTAAGCAGAGCAGGTGGTGGGACGTGGCCAGCACCCTCCTACTATGGGTCCCGCTGCTCCTCCTACTACATTGTACACATATGTTGGAGGTTGACACTGGTTTTTCTCCATCACTCTTCACCTAACATACTAGGCACAGATCTCACGTGAAACTAGAACTCAATATTCAGCTACTTTAGGTAGCTTGCTTGTTTTGGGGATTCTCTGTCTTTGCTTTTTGCATGCTAGGATTACAGGTAGGTTGCCATGCGCCCTGACGTTTACATGGGGGCCCAAACACACATCTTTATGCTTGCTGAGCAAGTGTTTTATCTACTGAGCCATCTCCCAGCTCCTACTTCTTCCCCATAGCATTTACAGGCATTTTAAGATATGTCATACCTTCTAAACTCTAGATTTCACTTCATATGGACTAATGTTAAATATTCACCTTGAAATAAAACTAAATGCAGTGAAATATGAAGGAGAGTGGAACTTCAGCACTTCCTTAGGGGCACAGATGGAAAGCAGGGTTCTTTGCTTCTTCAACTAAGGAATGCCTTAAGGGTTCAGAGTTGTATAGCTACAAAGCTTAGGCCTGTCTGCTTTGAAATCACCTAATCAATTCAATGTCCTTATTCTGTCCATACGCCTCTTCCTTTTTCATGGGAAATTGCGAACAAAACAGCACAAACTCAAGCTGCATTTCCTGTTTCTTTCTCCTATCACGGATACTAAAAGGCCCCCCGTTTTGGTAAGACACTATTTAGAAGCCCATCTACTCAAACTTGAAGCAAGTCTATCCCCAGTGTAGCCATAGTGGTGGTGGTGCCCCACCCGTTCTGGGAATTCCCGAATGGTGTCCAGTCACTCAGGGAGAAAGAGAGAGCAAAGAGGAATTCTCTGGGGAATGTCACTGGAGAAGGAATCTCCCAGTTTCATGCCCTATAATTAGTTCAGTCTTTACGATGCACATTTGGAAATACTAAACTTTGGAAGTATAATTTACACAAATACATATTTTCATAATGCACGTAAATTCAAACGACTGAGTCCTGATGACTATCAAATAAGGAAATATGATGAAACACAAAGCCAGTGTTTGTCTTTAGGATCTGAAAATAACACACTGAAATTCTGTCTGGGGACCTCTAGAGAAACATGCCGTGAAATTAAGATTGAATAAACAATTTTGTTACTTAGGGAAGACAAGAAACAAAAACCATTGTAATCCTTGAAGCTTCAAAAAGTTACTTGGATTACTCTCTCACTAAAAAAACTACACGATTTTCCCTCCAGTTTGAATAATTGGGGATTTGCCTTAGCAACTCTAAAACTAAAGCTAACCATCAAGTAAATGTTTTTTCTTCTTTTTTACAATGGATAAAATGTAGTCTTCAAACATTTCTATTTGAAAGAAAGATCATTTTTGCCCAAATAAAATTATATCCAAAGGAAAATGAAGAATGAGTGCCCCCTCAGGAGGCATGGCCCAGGATGCTGTGGGACTCCCCAAGACAATCTGCATGCACAGCATGGCCAGGGGAGATCCAAGATGAGTGCCTCTTACAGAGGAAGCTGAGAAAGAGAGAAGAGAGAATATACAGAGAGGGGGACCAAGACACACACAAAGGATGGCTCTGTCTTTCATTTCAAAAGTAAAAACATCTATTTTTCCTAAATACTTTAAAAATTCCTACAGAAAATAAGTTATAACAAAACATAACATTGGTTTAATTTCATTGAAAAACTCCATCTTTGGAAGTTCAGGGAAACCAGCTTTTTCCCTCAGGTAGGTAGACAGCTACCCCAGTTCACCATTTTTCCAAGTGAGTAGGCAGAAGGCAAATAGAAATGAAAATTTCTAACAGTCATTTGCTTTCATTACTCCTTGTAGGACTGGTTCAGAAAGGTGGACCATTACAATAATGGGAGTATTTTTTTTTATTACTTAAATGTAGCTTATGCGTTTAGGAAACAGGAGAACATATTTTAGAAACAGCTTTCCCAGCCGCATTTTCAAGTAGAATTTCTACCCCTAAAAT